GCTGACTTTCTGCAAATATCCTGCTCGATAATGATGGTGAGTACGCGACATCGACGGGGTTGAAGAGACTCTGGAAACATTGTGCTGGCAACTAAGCTGTTTGTTCAGCCAGCACATACACATAGGCAAGCAGTGCACCAACGCAGATATCATCAACGCTGTACGGACTGGGCTAGTGGATGACGATGATGAATCTCTAACATTATTGCGTGACATGGTACTAAAACGGTGAAACACGTCTATGCCGAGATAGGAGACATTATAACTAACTGCTTATGGTAATAATTTGTATAAGTACCTTGAAGTTATTGCTGCATCGTGGGGCTGAACACGCATGGGAATGTCCAATGTACAGTGAGGCCGATTGTGATAACATAAGATCTGAGAAGCGGCAGCAAAAAAAAAAAAAAAAAGGGGGGGGGGATGGGGGTGTGGGAGGAGGGGTGTTGTCTACCGGTTATTTCAATATGTTCCATTGCTTGCGGAAACTGTCTGACCAACCAAGGCTGGAACCTGATGCCTCTGATACTGAAGGGCAGAACAGGACTAGAGAAGTAAAGAAGAAGAGGAAGAAAAGAAGTTCAACAGGGTTTTTGTTTAGATGATACTGATGCGCATGCCGAATCGAACCCAGCTGCCTGACATGTAACATTCCCGTAAGAAAGCAATTGTTGCCCGGTAACTGGCTTTTCAATTTGGTTGCATGATCTCGGACAAAGCGGCCAGTGTAATTTGATGGGCATGGCGCCTGCTGTAATGTGATTGGCATGGCGCCCTATCTAATATGATTGGAAAATATCGGCGTGGAGAAACCGTGTTGCCATAAGATGATGACCTCTTGGTTGTTGTGTGTGCGTTTAATCTGGTGCACGGGGCCAGGGACATGAACTAACGGAGCATGTGGGCTGGTTGTGGCGATGACGTGTACCATCGACTTGCAGGGCTGTGGTTCATGTATCCACTAGCCAACATAGTCTCCTCATCTTATATCCCCAGACAACAGCGGCTGCACATTTGCACTGCACTCGATTGTTTTTATGATAATTATGTATTTATTAAGTCACACACACACTCTCTCACACTGAGACCAAATGGAATATAATATACATACAGAAATGAGACATGGACTTGTGACAGAAAGTTCAAGGAAATCTCCTATGTATAGAGGTAACAAAGGAAGAGCTGTTCTGACAGCGCCGTGAGTCTATGGTGCAAGTCACTTCTCACCTGGGAAACAATTCTCCAGTCAACCTGGAGATCAAAGGGTTGCCAGCTGGTCCGTAGTTAAGACGCCAGCCAGACGTCGATTTTTAGCCGTATTCAGAATATCAGGCATTGACAAACATCCATAAATGATGGTAATTGTGAAGACGGCACCGTTTGTGTGTGTGCGCGCGTGCATGTGTTTGTGTGTGTCAATCATTGCATCATTTCCCTAATGTGGGATCCGAAACATATGTTTAGGAAACACAGAAAAGACTCACTGCCCCATAATAAGCATGTCGTAAGCGGCGATTAATAAGGAGTTTGTTGAAATGGGATGTGTTGGGCCGAAAAATACGAATATCGCAGCTTAGCTGTAAATCACAGCACAGCTGTAAATCACAATACAGCGTGCCAACCGCCCTGTTAATGGCTGCTCACACCTGTCCTGCAAGAGGGATCTGTCTTGTCTTCATTTACTAGCCGGGGTCGAACACAGAGCTGATTCCTCGGATATACAAATACTTGCCATTAACTGAAGGATGCGTCCTTGACAGTTGCGCTAAGTCACTGGCTACTTTCTGTGCCAGCTTGACCACTGTTGTAGTGGAGACGTTTAGAGAGAATGACTTGGCCATTACATCCAACTAACGTGCCGCATCACTGAGGCCGGAAGTCTGTCACAAAAGACTGGCTTATTTCTAGAAACATGACTGTTGTTTCTAAGACGCCGCGGTCCACGTGCTTAATGCATTCTGCTTGTTTGATCATGGGTAAGAGAGAGCAGAGGCCAGTCCGCCTGGTGCCTATCTCAACCCTTGTCAATGTAGACTGATTGACGAATTGTCGTCTGCTTTTACTATGTCCCAGCCGACGTAAGTGGGATCCCTTGTAATGGCGGTGATACCTTTTGGCTGCAGTCCAGCTGTTGTTTAGGATCATTGAAGCAATCACATAACTGGCTATAATTGGTCTAAGCGTTGTGTCCACCCGGAAGTACAGGTTTTCTTTTGACCATCTAAAATGGTCATCGTGAGAAACTGATTTTTCTATATGTGGTGTTGGGGGTATGGTTCTCAGGTATTGAGTTGACTAGAATATTACCAGGGGGTACGGTTCTCAGGTATTGTGTTGACTAGAATATTACCAGGGGGTACGGTTCTCAGGTATTGTGTTGACTAGAATATTACCAGGGGGTACGGTTCTCAGGTATTGTGTTGACTAGAATATTACCAGGGGGTACGGTCCTCAGGTATTGTGTTGACTAGAATATTACCAGGGGGGTACGGTTCTCAGGTATTGTGTTGACTAGAATATTACCAGGGGGTACGGTTCTCAGGTATTGTGTTGACTAGAATATTACCAGGGGGGTACGGTTCTCAGGTATTGTGTTGACTAGAATATTACCAGGGGGTACGGTTCTCAGGTATTGAGTTGACTAGAATATTACCATGGGGTACGGTTCTCAGGTATTGTGTTGACTAGAATATTACCAGGGGGTACGGTTCTCAGGTATTGTGTTGACTAGAATATTACCGGGGGGTACGGTTCTCAGGTATTGTGTTGACTAGAATATTACTGGTGCAAAAGTCATGGGACAAGATTTTGTTTGCACCACAGTCAAACCAGACCTCTTTGTCTGTACTGATACAATAATTTTGCTTCTGCTGCTACTGCTATTCCACCGACTACTGCTCTTTTCGCTTCTGCGGCTACTACTACTACTACTACTACTACTACTACTACTACTACTACTACTACTACTACTACTACTACTACTACTACTACTACTACTACTACTACTACTACTACTACTGCTGCTGCTACTGCTACTGCTGCTGCTGCTGCTGCTGCTACTACTACTGTTACTGCTGCTACTGTTACTGCTGCTACTTCTGCTGCCGCTGCTGCAGCAACAAAATTTAATACTACTGTTGCTGTTGTTACTGCTACTACTTCTGCTGCTGCTGTTGTTACTATTAATACCACTACTAACACCACTACAGCTAGTGCTGCTGCTAGTACTGCTGCTGCTGCTGTAGATGCTATTGCTGCCTCTACTATTACTACTACTGCTGCTGCTACTACTACAGTTACTATTGCTGCTTCTGCTGCTGCTACTATAACTTCTGCTGCTGCTACTATAACTGCTGCCGCTGCTACTATAACTGCTGCCGCTACTAATACTACTGCTGCTGCTACTACTTCTGCTACTATTACTACTACTACTGCTACTGCTGCTACATAATTTATACTACTACTACTGCTGATGTTACTAATACTGCTGCTACTACTACTGCTGCTTCTGCTACTGCTGCTGCTCCTTCTACTGTTGCTGCTTCTTCTACTGTCGCTGCTACTACTATTACTAATCCTGCTGCTGTTGCTGCTGCTGCTGCTGCTGCTACTACTACTACTACTACTACTACTACTACTACTGTAGATGATGTTGCTACTACTCCTTCCACAATCATCGCCGCCGCTGTTATGATAATTCTGATCACCACCACTATTTCCATCTCTGTCGTTACCACCACCGTCTGTTCTGGTTATGCTGCTGTCTTGAGCTGGACTCCAAAGGCACCCATCGGATGTCTTGCGGAGTTGTCAGCAATGTTGATTCAAACAGATCCTCCACACAGAAGGCTGGCAGTCTGTGAATGTCGCGTCTGTCTGTTAATGTTTGTGTCAAGTCGGTTAATGTTGCCTTAGTCTATTGAAGTTGCGTCAGTCTATTAATATTGCGTCAGTCTAGTAATGTTACGTCAAGTCTATTAATGTTGCATGTCTATTAATATTACGTCAGTGTATTAATGTTGCGCCAGTCTAGTAATTTTGCGTCAGTCTAGTAATGTTGCGCCAGTCTAGTAATGTTGCGCCAGTCTAGTAATGTTGCGTCAGTCTAGTAATGTTGCGTCAGTCTAGTAATGTTACGCCGCTCTGTTAACTTTGCGCTAGACTAATAATGTTGCGTCAAGTCGGTTAATGTTGCCTTAGTCTATTGAAGTTGCACCAGTCTATTAAAATTGCGTCAGTCTAATAATGTTACATAAATCTATTAATATTACGTCAATCTATTTATGTTGCATAAATCTATTAATATTACATCAGTGTATTAATATTACGTCAGTCTAGTAATGTTGCGTCAGTCTAGTAATGTTGCGTCAGTCTAGTAATGTTGCGTCAGTCTAGTAATGTTGCGTCAGTCCAGTAATTTTGCGTCAGTCTAGTAATTTTGCGTCAGTATATTAATATTGCGTCAGTGAATTAATGTTGTGTCAGTCTATTAATATTACGTCAGTGTATTATTGTTACGTCAGTCTAGTAATGTTGCGTCAAGTATGTAAATGTTGCATCAGTGTTCATGTTGCGCCACTCTATTTACTTTGCGCAGTCTATTAATGTTGCATCATTCTATTAACTTCGAGCTTGTCTGTTAATGTTGCGTCAAGTCTGTTGGTGTTGCCTCAAGTTTGTTAATGTTACACCAGTCCGCTTATGTTTTCATTAGTTTGTTCATGTTGAGTCAAGCATTTAGCGCCAGTCTATTCAGTTACCCAATCTGTTAATGTTTACATCAGTCTGTTTCTTTATGTTAAGTCAGGCATATAGAGCTAGTCTGTTAAGTTACCCAATCTGTTAATGTTTACATCAATCTGTTTGTTCATGTTAAGTCAGGCATTTAGCGCCAGTCTATTCAGTTACCCAATCTGGCAATGTTTACGTCAGTCTGTTCAATGTATGTCAGTCTGTTCAGTGTTGCGTCAGCCCGTTAATATGCCCTAATTTATCCACAGCTGGTCGGCGGGGAGTTTGACATCGAGAGCAACTTTGTCATCCAAGATCCCCAGAACATCCTACACATGCTCAAGTTGTTGGCCTCCTGCTCCCACACACTCCAGGTGAGTCCTGTCTTGTTTCCCTGTTGTCTTTCGTAACTCGACATGGCACTATGGTTTGTGTTGGTTCCTAGGCTCCATGTTTTAATCTCACGGAAAACTACATTGATGGTTGGACAGGTATTGATCGATTAGTTGTTTGCCTGTCTGGAGGACACTGAGGTCCGAAACATTTTTGGTGATATCTTGTCAAACTTGAGAAGGGCCTGCATCTAGGGAATGCAGATTTATGTTAGATTATTTGTATAATTGGTGACCACAATGCCTTTTTTACTGAGAGCATCTTGAAGAGCTCTGGTTTTCCCTTTGACACCAGAACTCTGTGAAGGGATCAAGCACGGTACTGGCTCTTCAAGTCAGCTGAGAGAGACACAAGAGGATCTCACTAGCTCATGATTCAGCACGGCACAGAGAGACATGAGAGGATCTCACCAACTCGTGATTCAGCACGGCACAGAGAGACATGAGAGGATCTCACCAGCTCATGATTCAGCACGGCACAGAGAGACATGAGAGGATCTCACCAACTCGTGATTCAGCACGGCACAGAGAGACATGAGAGGATCTCACCAACTCGTGATTCAGCACGGCACAGAGAGACATGAGAGGATCTCACCAACTCGTGATTCAGCACGGCACAGAGAGACATGAGAGGATCTCACCAACTCGTGATTCAACACGGCACATAGAGACATGAGAGGATCTCACCAACTCATGATTCAGAACGGCACAGAGAGACATGAGAGGATGTCACCAACTCGTGATTCAACACGGCACAGAGAGACATGAGAGGATCTCACCAACTCGTGATTCAGCACGGCACAGAGAGACATGAGAGGATCTCACCAACTCGTGATTCAGCACGGCACAGAGAGACATGAGAGGATGTCACCAACTCGTGATTCAACACGGCACAGAGAGACATGAGAGGATCTCACCAACTCGTGATTCAGCACGGCACAGAGAGACATGAGAGGATGTCACCAACTCGTGATTCAGCACTGCACAGAGAGACATGAGAGGATCTCACCAGCTCATGATTCAGCACGGCACAGAGAGACACGAAAGGATCTCACCAACTCGTGATTCAGCACGGAACATAGAGACATGAGAGGATCTCACCAACTCGTGATTCAGCACGGCACAGAGAGACACGAGAGGATCTCACCAACTCGTGATTCAGCACGGCACAGAGAGACATGCAAGGATCTCACCAACTCGTGATTCAGCACTGCACAGAGAGACACGAGAGGATCTCACTAACTCGTGATTCAGCACTGCACAGAGAGACATGAGAGGATCTCACCAACTCGTGATTCAACACGGCACAGAGAGACATGAGAGGATCTCACCAACTCGTGATTCAACACGGCACAGAGAGACATGAGAGGATCTCACCAACTCGTGATTCAGCACGGCACATAGAGACATGAGAGGATTTCACCAACTCGTAATTCAGCACGGCACAGAGAGACATGAGAGGATCTCACCAACTCGTGATTCAGCACGGCACAGAGAGACATGTGAGGATCTCACCAACTCGTGATTCAGCACGGCACAGAGAGACATGAGAGGATCTCACCAGCTCATGATTCAGCACGGCACAGAGAGACATGAGAGGATCTCACCAACTCGTGATTCAGCACGGCACAGAGAGACATGAGAGGATCTCACCAGCTCATGATTCAGAACGGCACAGAGAGACACGAGAGGATCTCACCAACTCGTGATTCAGAACGGCACAGAGAGACACGAGAGGATCTCACCAACTCATGATTCAGCACTTCACAGAGAGACATGAGAGGATCTCACCAACTCGTGATTCAGAACGGCACAGAGGAATAGGCAGGTATTTGGGCTGGGCTGGTCACATGTCCCTGATGGGTTTTGGTAAGTCATTACGTAAAAACATTGTGTTGAATATTTCATTGGGAACAGACTCAAACCCAATACCAGAAAGGAATTTAAAAGATACTGGTGAAAAGCTAACTGGCCCATTTTCCACTCCTTTGTATATTTAGGTCAAAGAAAATAGGCCATTATCTGTAGCAAATGCCGCAGTTATAATGTAAAGCGATAGGTCTTCGCACACTCTGGGCCTTGATAAAATAAGGTTCACGGACCAGTTCCATTCCTTTCCACCTTTGCTTTTTAGAAATGACTAGATAATTTCGAATCGTATCCGTTTCCCAGTTAACGAGGCTGAGTTGCTTCACTAGTATATGTGGCGGCTAACATAGAGACCGGAAGTATATGAAGGTCTTACATTGACATCCCTACCTCAGTCAATCAGTCAGTCAGTCAGTATATCACAGTCTCAGTCAGTATCTGCCATCAAATTACTTGTACCGCTGATATGATTGTAACACCGCAAAGCACTTTGGTTCATCTAGCTACATTGTACATGTTTAGAGCTAGAGCGTCAATGAACACTTGTGCTGTAACGATGTGCTGGCGTTGATATATTTGTGTCTGTACTGGCGCGCTATATTCACACATTGCTATATTTACAGAGCTGTAGACGTTTGCTAGAAATCTATACGGCTAGCGATCTCCTGTCGAGTGGTGATATAGAGGCAGTGTTGTGAGTAAGAAATGTCGAAACGATTTCTCGGGATCAGAATCGAAAGGCAGATCATGTACGAGGACTGAACGTGTTTTTCGGATACACGGAGGGGTTTCCTAGCCGGCCCGTCAGAGCAAACCTTTGATAAATTGGTTGTCTTCCGGGTGAACCACCGGCCATAAATTGGTTATTGATCACAGTCGAGGGCGTGTGTTCTCCAGCACGACCCCTGACTATCGGCTCCCCGGGTGGCTGGATCAACAAGGTTGGGTTGTGAGCCCGCAGTGCTGGAATTATTGTGTCCAGCAAAATCATCGTGGTGGCTTAGTCGCAGGGAACTTGAACACTTTCTGAGAGACAGGGGTCAAGTGAAGATCTAGTGGCAGATATGTAGATGCCTACTTAATTTGGCCAAATAAGATATTACAGACCATACAGGCACTTTGATGATGAGGAGTCGTCATCGCCCAGGCTTATCGGTATGGTGTATGATGATGATAATGATAAGAGATGCCCGAGACCAAACTGGCAGGACTTCTTCTTCTTCACTTCCTCTTTTACCGCTGTGGGTGTCGAGGGAGATAAAAAGGTTCTGTTTCTAGCTCTTCTGGCTGCCTCAACCATAGGCACATCGTGCTGTTGTAGAGTTTCTCTGATGTTATCCTTCCATCTTGTTCTTGGTCTACCCCGTGCTCTACGTCCTTCTTCTCTTTACATGTATGCTTTGTATGGTATGGTGTCACAAGGCATTCTGTCTAAGTGGGCAAACCATTTCACTTGCTAATTCTGTTTTATCAATCTTAAACCAGAGGCAGCCAGATGTCAGTCCATGTCACTGTGATTGTAGTCCCCTGACGGGTAATGCCGCCTCGTGGAAGTCACGGTGATTGTAGACCCCTGACGGGTAATGCCGCCTCGTGGAGGTCACGGTGATTGTAATCCCCTGACGGGTAATGCCGCCTCGTGGAAGTCACGGTGATTGTAGTCCTCTGACGGGTAATGCCGCCTCGTGGAAGTCACGGTGATTGTAATCCCCTGACGGGTAATGCCGCCTCGTGGAAGTCACGGTGATTGTAATCCCCTGACGGGTAATGCCGCCTCGTGGAAGTCACGGTGATTGTAGACCCCTGACGGGTAATGCCGCCTCGTGGAAGTCACGGTGATTGTAATCCCCTGACGGGCAATGCCGCCTCGTGGAAGTCACGGTGATTGTAGTCCTCTGACGGGTAATGCCGCCTCGTGGAGGTCGCGGTGATTGTAGACCCCTGACGGGTAATGCCGCCTCGTGGAGGTCACGGTGATTGTAATCCCCTGACGGGTAATGCCGCCTCGTGGAAGTCACGGTGATTGTAGTCCTCTGACGGGTAATGCCGCCTCGTGGAAGTCATGGTGATTGTAATCCCCTGACGGGTAATGCCGCCTCGTGGAAGTCACGGTGATTGTAATCCCCTGACGGGTAATGCCGCCTCGTGGAAGTCACGGTGATTGTAATCCCCTGACGGGTAATGCCGCCTCGTGGAAGTCACGGTGATTGTAGTTCTCTGACGGGTAATGCCGCCTCGTGGAAGTCACGGTGATTGTAGACCTCTGACGGGTAATGCCGCCTCGTGGAAGTCACGGTGATTGTAATCCCCTGACGGGTAATGCCGCCTCCTGGAGGTCACAGTGATTGTAGTCCCCTGACGGGTAATGCCGCCTCGTGGAGGTCACGGTGATTGTAGTCCTCTGACGGGTAATGCCGCCTCGTGGAGGTCACGGTGATTGTAGTCCCCTGACGGGTAATGCCGCCTCGTGGAAGTCACGGCGATTGTAGACCCCTGACGAGTAATGCCGCCTCGTGGAAGTCACGGTGATTGTAGACCCCTGACGTGTAAAGCCGTTTCGTGGAGGTCACAGTGATTGTAGTCCCCTGACGGGTAATGCCGCCTCCTGGAGGTCACGGTGATTGTAGTCCCCTGACGGGTAATGCCGCCTCGTAGAGGTCACGGTGATTGTAGTCCTCTGACGGGTAATGCCGCCTCGTGGAGGTCACGGTGATTGTAGTCCCCTTACGGGTAATGCCGCCTCGGGGAGGTCACGGTGATTGTAGTCCCCTGACTGGTAATGCCGCCTCCTGGAGTTCACGGTGATTGTATACCCCTGACAGGTAATGCCGCCTCGTCTGAACGTGGTGTATTAGGTTGCCACATTTTCCAGGCCACTAAAAACTGAGCTATTCTGGCCACTTGCCTTTCTCGTCGGCGTTTCCCCACCAGAAAATTCCAGAGAGTACGGAAATTGCATGATGCCCCTCTTTGTGTGGGGTTGTAGAGATTGAAACAGATTTATGTTAGTAGACAGAAAGATTTAAACCAGAATCTAACAAGGCAACAATGTCACCTATCAACTAATCCCAGTTTTGGAAACAGCCGGCTATCGCAGTAGAGATTAAAAGACA